CGATGTCCCACCTCCTCTGGTACAGTGATCCAATGATAGGAATCACTGTGCCATGTGTCATAGGAGGCGGGACATCGCTCCCGCGGCTGCACGGGACATCATCATCACAGTGGGAGCTGCTGCATTTCCCACCCTAGGCTTATACTCGAGTCAATAACTTTTCCAGTTTTTTGTGGTAAAATTAGGTGCCTCGGCTTATATTCGGGTTGGCCTATACTCAAGTATATACGGTACTTCTCCCTTTTTATCTCTTTAGTCTGTTGTAGATCATCTTTTTGGCTGTGCTACTGTATACTACTTCACATAGACATTTGTCTGTGAAGTTTATTCTCTTAACTATTTTTAATAAGTTTTTGAAATTCTTCAGTTGCATAATATTGAAATCTAATAGGTTTCCAGTTGAATGATTTGTTTTTTTTAATTGATTAATAGAGCTGTCCTACCATTTTAGGATATTACAAGGCAGGTATGAGTTTGGTTATATTAATTTATAATAATATTACCTGATATTGTTTAAAAACATGGTGTGTTCAACATTATATTGAAGCTTACATATTTTTATGGCAATCCTGGCATAAATGATTTAGTCTTTTTTTTAAACAACATTATTTTATTTTTTGTTACAAATTGTAAAAAAAATTTTATAAACAAAGTGTTGCAAAGTTCATTTTAGTATATGCATAGTTCATTTTACATCATATTTCCATTTCCAATTTCAGCCATGTTATTTCCTTTCTATGTCCTCCATCTTAAATTTATTTTCTTTTTCATACATAAATATCATTATTTGCCCCCAAAGTTAACCAAATTTATCATTTCATTTCCATCTGTTATCTTATTTTCCTATAGACAGCATATATCCTCGAAATCAATTTTTATATAATAATCATTTCACTTATTTAGTTAGCCACAATTAATGGTGTTAATATAGCTCCCTCACATCATGATTATCTACATACTATTAACAATATTAACTCATTTTATTCTACTAGTAAATCCTTTTCCTTCCCTTCCTCCTTTTAAAACCATTTTCTCTTCGTTTCTCAGAAATTTCACTTCTTTTATGTTCTCTTCTTTCCATCATTCACCTAGCTTCTTTTTTTTATTTTTTGTACCGTAATTTCTATATTTTTTCTTCCCAATCCTTATTCTCCCTTTTAATTTTATTGTTCTGGTAACTTTCCCCAGGTTTTTTTCTAATCTTTCCCCACTATTTCCATCTTTGCTGTTTATTTTTTCTTTTTGGGGGCCCCTTCCCCCTTGTCTACTTTTTGTGTGCCACTGTAAAACCCAGTGAAATCCTCTAAGTATTTTTCTTTTTCAATCCCTGTTTCTTCCATGATATCTTCCTGTTCTTCATTTGGACCCTCTTTCTACCGCCTTTTCTCCTCTTCTCTGATCTGAGTGCCCCTCCTCCCCAGAATTACTAGTTTTTCTTTACCAAATAGATGATTTAGTCTTTAAGGAGCTGAAACATTCTAGCAACTGGCTACTGGATATGTGTATTGATACCAGACTTTAGTTTATCACAACCAGCAGATGGTGCTAAATAACTACATATAACACTTCTATCATATATGACATGTTCAGCTTTTCCTGTGTATGGTAGGTCCATTTGATCGCACAAATTAAGCAAGTAAAATGTATGACCTATTTTATTAGGATGAAGTTATTAAATATTGTGAATACTTCATAATGAATATTGTATTCCCAAATTAGAATGGAATTCTAGCTTGTGTTTTGTTATGCTAATCTTATGTTTCTTCCATTAATGTTAATGTTCACTTATTGTTAACAAACATTTATGGATAATTGCAGGTTTTAATGACAATATAGTTTTGAGGATGTGGCCAGGTGTGTACATCTAGATCTAGCTCTCGGCCATTTTGTTGTTGAAAGAACAGTCTCTTTTATATCACTCTTGACTTCAGAGTCTTCTGTTACACACATATTCATGTTATACTACATTCCTTTTTGGTGTGTGATACAGTTTCACTTTTTAAAAAATCCATGATACATTTCCCTTCTGATAATTGATATTCTATCTGCATTACAAAAAATAGTCTCATGTTTGACAGAGCGCTGGAATAATTAAGAACTTCAAAATTCCCTGAAAGTTAGTAGAAAAATATTGCTACCACAGAGTTACAGTTTACAGCTGTGTAATCACATGCAAAATATATGACGTGAGAAACTGTATCATCACTATAATTTAAACATTTCATTGTATAGTACAAAAATATTGTCTTACAGTACAAAAACATACTTATTTTTGAAGAGGGTTTTTATACAACCTAACATTGTAGCCTTACATGGCCTCTTTTGCTAAGAGAATTAAGAATTAAGATTTTTAAATAATAATAGGATTTCTGTTGCAAATATTATGTATAATAATGTACCTTGCAGCTTTAGAGAATCCATCTGCCTGCTTTATCGTTTTAAATATTTATGGCTTTCAGTTTTTGTCAGCATCAACCTTGAAATTTGACACCAGTAAAATCAGTAAAATTTACCGAACATGAGGTTAGACATGGGTTGGAGGTTTTCATTTGATGACTTTCTCAAAACTCTGAAAGAAAAACATGACTCTTTGGAATTGGAGATTAGTTTAGAAGAACCATTTGATTTACTTTACTTTTCCTCTATTGGTAGAGGACTTATCTCTACTTTTCTTAACCTAGGCTCTTCTATAAAACTGTTGCAAATTTTCCTGTACTTGCAGGATTTTAGCCAATCTAGTAGCTAGAAGTCCCCTACCCCTCCTTTTTACTGTGGTTGATAGAAACCTAATAAGACACAAATTTATTCCATTTTTGCTTTATAGAAAAACAAAACAACCTAAGTAAAGAGTTTGTCTCTGACAAAATGGTGTTATAAAATAAGGAAGTAGTTATTTTTCCCAATCCAAATCTGGTGCAGAACTGTAGCACTGGTGGTAGTTTTCTATAAAATTATAGAACTTGGATATTTTACTATGGCTATCAGTATCAGATTCTTGACATAAACCCTTGTGATTTCTTAGTAACATATTGTAGCTATGCAGTTCATGCTGTATCTTGGCAAAAACATTTTCCTCACAAAAGCAAATGATAAAAAAAGCATTTTCAAGGTAGTATAGTGAGTAGTGAGCGCTTTCCTCAGTGTGATGTGGTTAGACCTTTGTTTCTGGGGTATTATTATTGTGTCATAGAAAAAACTATCTTAGAAGATGAGTGATACCTGTACAGCTGTAGCTCTTTTTGCTCTTATTGCTGTTTCCCCAAAGATTTCCTCTAAAATAATATGAAAAAGATATTGCCTCAATTCTTCTTTAAAAATATATTGAAGTGCATTCATGTATATTGTATGTCAAATTTGCTAACTAAATTTTTATCTGGAGATATCTGTCATATTCATTTTCTCTCTATCATTCAGCTTACTTCTGTTATGCCTACAATGTTAGTATATCTCATTGGAAATAATAGTTGGAAATGATATGAGGAGTTGTGGTTACTTAGCAGTTTATTAATGTACCTAATTTTCTGTAAGAGTGATGTCACTTTATCTGATTTAAGCAGATGAATTTTATTGCTAAGTAACAGAAAGTAGGTTATATGGTGAGGATGCATACGGCCCTTCTTTCTGCTCAAACTGCTTTTGTTTATTAAAAAGGTCAAACCAGGAATGTCAAAGTATGTATAAATATAGAATTTCTGGTGCACCAGAGAAATGTATGCAAATTCTTCTTTTCATTTTTCAGATAGCACACTTTTTCATAATGACCAATTTGGATAAAAAGTGGTTAATTTTAAATGCAAAACTAAGGTATACTTTCTGAATCTGGATCCTGTCAGGAGTTTATCAGCGAATACCAGAACTAGTTAGCATGGCTGATGGTTAAATATAGTGTAGATCAAAATCACCAGAGGGACTCAAATCAGAGAAAATTGACTTTAGGAAACCAGTAAATTTAAATCATGTTTTCCTACTCTGGATTATTGTCCTAGACCTAAACCATAAAAAATATGAAACACAATTCCAAGTTTGCGAATAATAAACAGTTGAAAGTCAGAGCGGAAACCTCCAATTCCTCAAAACTCTGCTAGAAGGCAGTTCAGCATTTATTGCTAAAATGAATTTGGCTAATGACCTGGTTAGAATTGTTTTGTCAGAATCATTAGGGTAACTACCACTGGCAGCAGCCATCAGGATAGTTATGTGAGCATTTGATCTTTGGACCATTGTGAAAGTATTTGGTGTAACTGGGATGTTATTTGATCTTTTTCTGTAACTGATTTCCAAAATTATGACTCCATTCTGTGCACAATGATTAGGTACTGGAGTATAAGGAACATTAAATAGCTGATGTACATGACTGATAATGCAGGCTATTTGTTTTAAAATTTTATGGTGAGTGTTGTACTATTAATCTATTTAACATGGGATTGCATGTTTTAGCAGGGTTTGGGGAATGTGATGGTATAATAACTATAGGAAATGGAGTTTAGGCATTCATCTTTTCAGAATTTAGATTTTTTTTAAAATAAAATGAATGTGCTAAGTTTGGTTTGTTTATCATTTTCAGGGGCTCTAGGCACCACAAAATAAGTTACTGTCTTCTGTTACAATTCTTGCAATGCAGATTATTACTATTATCGTGCTCTCTGCTTTTTAGGCACTATCCCATTGGTTTACTATTTGATCTTCATGCTTCAAATGCAACCCTTCCATGGAATATCACAGTACATTTTAAGGTATATAAGCAATATATCTCATTAATATATACTTCAAAAAGATGTATTAGAAGCAAGATTTACATTTTAATTTCTGGAATGAAAAGGTGGGAGACGGAATGGTTCTGCACAAGCAGGCGCATATGCACCTGCTCCTGTACAAATGGAGTTTCACATGTTCCCCCAATGCTTGTGTGGCCTGGTTCTCAACAGACTGTGACCTGGGGGTTAGGGACCCCCTCTTTACAGCACTCTCTGAGAAGTTTACAATATCAGCATATTGCCCCCAACAATCTGGGTTGTCATTTTACCCACCTTGGAAAGATGGAAGTCTGAATCAACCTTGAGCCCATCAGGATTGAATTCCAGGCTATGGGCACAGTTAGCTACAATATTCCATTCTAACCACTATGCCACCAGGGCTCTTACATATAGATACATGTAGTTAATATACTTTGAGCAATTCATGGCTTTCTATAATAAGCCATAGTCCTGCATATTGACTTCAATACTAAAAGTTGGCTCACCATTGAATGCATGGATCATTAATCATTCTTCCTTATTAGAAACTAGTTGCTATGGATTAGTGTATTTATTGCTGAATTGTAAGTCTGGTAAAGTGCAACATTTCTCTGTCATTAAGCATATTAGGTCTTGATATATTACCAAATTTTCCTAATATAGGTAGTCCTCGACTTAGCACCACAATTTTGCCCAAAACTTTCATTTACAAACAAGACACCTATTGTTAAATTGGCTTTGCCCCATTTTACAATATTTCTTGCCACAGTTGTTTAGTGAATCACTGCAGTTGTTAAGTTAGTAGCATAGTTGTTAAGTGAATCTGGCTTCCCCATTGACTTTGCTTATCAGATGGTAAAATGTCTATGGAGATACTTAATCATCCAAGTCATGGTTGACCCAAAGGTGCTTTTTCCAAAAGACAACTGAACTCTCTTGGGTTTTTCCCTTGAAAATGTTTCTCTTATCCAAGAAATTTCTTCAGTTCAATTCTTAAGAACTGAAGAAACTTCTTGGAGGAGAAGGAAAAACATTTTCAAAAAACAAACAAGAAAGTCCAGTTGCGTTTTGGAAAAAGTATCTTGGAACAATTGTTAGAAGGTTGTAAAAAGTGTTCACTTGACCCCAGGATATTCAACTTTCATAAACACATTATTAGTTGCCCAGTATCTGAATTTTGATTATGTGACCATGGAAATGCTTCTATAGTCATCAGAGTGAAAAATGGTCATACATCATTTTTTTCAGTGCTGTTGTAACTTTGAACAATAATTTAAAAAGTGGTTGTTAGTCAAGGACTACCTATAATGTTCTCGCTTTCCTTTCCTTCTTTAAATTACTTTTGAGTATTTTTTTGAATTTTGATTACAATTTTATATTTCTAGAACTTTCCAGAAAAAGATCTTCTGCATTGCTCCTCTAAGGAAGTAATTGAAGCTCATTTCATGGGTTGTATAAAAGAAGCAGATGCCTTAAAGCATAAGAGTCAAGTAATCAATGAAATGCAAAAAAAGGATCATAAGCAACTTTGGATGGGGTTGCAGAATGGTAAGAGCCACTTTTAAGCGAATTATGTGTAATCACTTAAAAAAAACCTAAGGGCTGGGGTAATATTGTAAGACATTTCAAGTTTCTATTTGTACTTCTGGAACTCAAATAATTGGAATGAAAGATACTGTATACATTTTATAATCAAGGTCCTAATAAGTAACAAGTGATGCACAGGTTAACAGCTGCTATCCTTTGTCAACTTTTGATTTAAGAAATGGTAGATCATGGCAAACCTTGATCTGAACAACACATCTCTTATCTGGAGATGCAGTGGTTTGCAGTAACTTAGTGGTAGGCTGCTGACATTAGTAAGAATAATTGTGAGTATTGATTACTTGAAGCAACAGTAAATCACACCAGGTTGCAGAGGAGAGGGAACAATGAAAGCAGGACAAGGATAGAGACCTTATCTATCAATAGTTCTGTTCTTTTGATAATGGTCTAGGTGCTGTTTCTTATAAAAACTTTCTTATATAAGACTATCCAACCATGTGTTATTTAATTTATTTTCATCTCAGCAAAAATTAGAATAGTCAAAATCACTAATAGCTTAGTATTTAAAATGCTGTGTGGAAAGAGGACACTTGAAAATATTAATAATTAAAAAGTGAGTTGAACTGTTTTGGATTGCACTGCTAGTATTATTTAATCAGTTTCTCTTAAGATTTTTTGACATTCAAAATTTGGAGCAGAAATGTTGCTTGGCTTGATTGGGAGAACTTTGTGGGGATCCAAGATAAGAAGTTAGCCAGAAATGTTGGTTGTATAGGTTTCAATGTGTGTCACTGGAAACTGCACCTGTAGAACCCAACAGATAATATTTTGAAAACTTTCAAAGGCTAATTTTGTATTTGAGCCATTAGTAAAAGAGAAATAAGAAAAAACTTATGAAACCAAGATAACTTTTTAAAATACATGCTGCATCTTTCAGTATGGCTTTCATTATATATGGGATGATGTTAAACTCCTCTGTGAAACAATATTCATGACCACAAAAAAGAAAAGAAAGTAGCAGTTGCTGCAACTGGCTGATGGCACATCTGCAAGTTGCTTTTTCTATGAAACATTGTCCATTTGTCTTTCTACTTATAGTGTTCTAGTAAAACTCTTTACTAGACACAATTAAAATTCCTTTTTTATTTTACCATTTTCCTCAATTTGTAGAGAAATTCATGCAAGTGGTGGAAGTTTACACAACAAAGACTGATGTAGGAAGAGTGAAGCAGTACTTCATGATAATCACTTTGTTAATTTATTGTTCTGTTAAAATGAAATGTGGTGACATTAAAAACAAAAGGATTAGAGTAATATAGAGAAAGTTTCACCCTTGATAATAGAAATACCTACTGCATCTACTTATTCCAAATCATGTGTTGAATTATATTTCCTTCTGCTGAAATTGCCTGTTTGAGTTTTTATTTATTTGGAAAATATATCTTGAGCAAACTGGGTATATAATAACATAGTGCTTCAATTGTTTTTTGTATTTCCCTGGCAATAGATTCTCTGGAAATTATTTCTAAGTGAAGTTTGTTGCATTGCATTTCTTCTCATTCAACCGATGAGAAAATATCAATAAATTGAACTGACACTATTATCAAATATTTTTCATTTATAACAAAATGGGTTCTATATCAGTAGAAAGATCATCACCAGATATGTGGTGCTTAGTATTTAAGTTTTTAAAAATGTCAATGTATGTCAAAGCCATAATATTACCATGCAAAAGAGTAAAGGCTTAGCTGGATGAGATGGAGGCTTAGCTCCAGTTACCCATTGCTTCACTCTGCATTTTGTTGCCTGAGATTATTTTTGCCTACCAAAAATATTGTTACTGGAAATCATTCTTGTAGGGGAATGTAACTTATCAGAGAAAAATAAAAATACTATCCAACAATACTCAACACAGCTTTTACCTCTATAGTTCTTCCACTTTAGAGTTTTGAGCAAATTCATGTTTAAAGACACTCATTTACACCTGATGTTTTAATTTCAATTATAAAACTTTAAAGCGCCTGGAAAAGTATGAAGGCAGAATGATAGTAAAGTAACATTAGCTAATGTTTTAAATGACAGCATTACACAATTAGGAGGCTAATACTCATGAGGTCTAATCTTTAAATCTTAGCTAAACTGGGGAGACAAAGATTGAGATAAGTGCCTTGTCTTCCCCTCCATTTGTTGGCAAACTTCCAGGAGCTCTGACTGACCTTCAAGCAGGTTGTCAATTGTGGAAACTGAAGCAATTTTGCACTCCCAAACTTTCTTTTTATTTCTCACTTTTCTATTAAAATAGAAAAAATAATAATTTACATTTTAATTCAAATATGCTAATATGCTATTACAAATAATAAATTTGTAATATAAATATAAATTGATCCCAACAACTTATTTTGAAGTGTGTTTAATACTTTAATATTTTTAAAGTATGTGGTTTTCCAACTGGCCTGAACATACCTTAATATACAACAGCAGTGTTAAACTCAAGGCCATGGGGGCGGGCCCATGGGTGCTTAGATGTGGCCCATGGGGATGCCCTTGAAACAGCAAAAGACTGGTGCCTCTGCCAGTGAAAATGGAGTTTGGGAGGGTCACACATGGCCCTCCCGAGCGCCATTTTCACTGGCAGAGGCACCAGTCTTTTGCTGTTTCAAGGGCATCCCCACGGGCCACATCTAAGCACCCAAGGGCCCGCCCCCATGGTCTTGAGTTTAACACTGCTGTTGTATA